TATTTAAGTGAACCTATTCTACATAGCCTCCTGATTTCTAGTCATGAAAACACTATAGGCCTTCAAATGTTAAAAGGGATCACAATTTTGTGCTTTTAAGTACCTACACATAGTGAATAATAAAATTGACTGGTAAGGTTTACTAGAATAATCTCATGAATACTAATTTAGATGCTATTACTTATTATGCTTCTAATACTCGCGTTCTGAGTTCAACACAATGGAATCCTTAATGACGTAAACGAAATAGATCCTACTTATACCGTATATGCTCTGTCGACAAATCCCGCCAGTAAAAACTCAGATATTAGAAGTCGAATACGAGTGTCTCGGATGTTTGGATTTCATGCATTCATTGCGGCAGATAGACAAAGTGACGGGGAATAGAGACAGCAAATGCGACTATTCAAAGTACTACTCACTATAAGCGTCAATGACTCAGAATAGGTAATTCATAATGCGACAAAAACACATGCGCTGAATGAAATAGTAAGTGAAAAAAGCACACAAGGACACATAAGACAAAGAGTAGAGTTGCAAAGATATGAATATAAGGGGTATATGTGCTGAAGGTCATAGTTTCATATGGAAAAGACTAAGTTACTAGGAAGGTAAAAATGACTTAACAATCACCTACTGTCTGAGTTATGAACCGAAGTCAGCACAACGAAACGTTTAACAAGAATATGAAAAGAAACAAAGCTGACGAAACTTATAAAGACAATCATTTACAAGCAAGATCATTAGAACGGGCTGTTCATGCATTAACTAGACAGTTTTGTTCTATGTAAAGTACGCTCTCACATGGCCACGCGTATATAGCCTCTGCCAGGGAAGTTCTACTCACCGCCTTCTCGTGGCAAGGGTGTTCGTTACGAAAACGAGAGGACGAAAAGCGAATGTCTGGCACTTTAACCGGATCCCAAATCAATGGTGCACATGGGCTGGCTCCAGTATCCTGAAGGAACAAATGGCGTATGAACCAATCGTTGGTCACCGGCTACCATGGGACTGCATCTCCTCACGATGCTCCACTGCCTTGTGGGTCAGACATTCAGGTCGAAGGCTCGGGGTGTGGCCCCCTAAGAAAACCACCTGCTTCAGTTTGGGCACCCGAGCAGTATCACAGCCCTCACACAAATATAATGAAAATGATGATCTCTGAAAACTCTGTTCACGCTGCGATTTATCGTCAAACAATTAACATTATTATTTACCACGTCATTTATTCACTCTTTTATTTCCACTCTATCTATCCTTATTTTTCGACTTATACAGCAGCTCGCCTATGGTGAACATTCGGCTCTATCTAAACATTCTCGAGTCACTGACTGGTTGAAAATTGTATGTTGCCATCGAATAAGAGTACTGAAGCAATCTTTCTGAGATCACGTGCACCATTCAAACTGGCTGCCTTCAACGTTCGCACACCTATGCAGGTCGGACAACAGATAGGGCTGGGTATGTCTTTGGAAAGTCTTAATATTGACGTTTGTTGTCTATCCGAGACCCGTATTCAAGACTCTGGTGAAGTACTACAAATTCGCTCTCCATCTATCACTTTAAAAAGCTTGTTTTACGTGCGTTTATCCGGGGACCCTGTGGCATCTTCATCTGGTCTTGCTGGCGTTGGTGTCGCACTAAGCGCTAGAACTGAGGCAGCACTAATCGACTGGATCCCCATTAACAGTCGGTTATGTACTGTTAGATTAGAAAGTTCCATCAAAGTGAGAAGAAATCGGCGTGAGAGATTGTCTTTTCGTCATCTTATAAGCACAGGGTTTCTTCTGGTTCCTTACAACTCATTGAAGCCCGTCGGTCTACTCCGGGTGACTGAGTTTGACCACAGACGAAGGATGTTATGTAATGAAATCGGGCGAAGCTTGCGTAAGGACCGTGAAGCCTGGTGGTCGGAGCGTGCTAATGAGCTGGAAGCAGCAGCTGCATCTGGTAATTACCGGAAGCTCTTCCAACTCATCCGAGCCACTGGCAGCAAGAAGTCTGATGTGAGCGAAACAATTTGCGAAGATGACGGAACGGCAATCACTAACATCCATCGACGTCTTGGACGATGGGCAGAATTCTTTGAAGGGAAGTTCAACTGGCCTGCTGCTCCGGCAACATCGGTCAGACTGTCCTGCCCTCCATTGCCGGTGACGACTGATCCACCAAATGAGGCGGAAGTCTGCAAGGAATTCCAACTCTTGAAACGTTACAAATCACCGGGCCAAGATGACTTACCTCCGGCTCTTTTTAAAGATGGTGGTGACATTCTGGATAAGGAACTGACGACGTTGTTTACAAAGGTCTGGGAACTAGAGAGTGTACCAACGTCATGGAATGAGTCGATAGTTGTTCCTATCTTTAAAAAGGGTTCACGTCGTTCCTGTAACAACTATCGGGGGATAAGTCTACTTCCGATTGCGTCCAAGCTATTGGCTTCCGTTATACTTTGTAGGTTGTTCAAAACCCTAGAAGGATTGACTGGCGAGGAGCAGGCTGGGTTTCGTTCTGGTCGAGGATGTATTGATCATATCTTCACCCTCCGCCAAATGCTAGAACACCGCCATACTTATCAAAGGCCAACAATCGTAGTGTTTCTTGACATCAGAGCTGCCTTCGATTCGTTTGATAGGACTGTTCTCTGGGATTATCTATCGAAGAAGGGTGTGCCTGAGAAGTTTATTGACATCCTAAAAGCCCTATATACAAACACCTCAGGCAGGGTGAGGGCATGCAACCACCTTTCTCCATTATTCCATTCAAGCAGTGGGGTTAGGCAGGGTTGCCCAGTCTCACCATTCCTCTTCAACTTTGCCATCGATGACATTCTGGAAACAGCTCTGATGGATGTAAGTAATGGTGGTGTGGATCTGTTGCCTGGGAAAAGACATCTCGACCTTGAGTATGCGGATGATATTGTCTTACTGTGCGAGAATTCCCAAGCCATGCAATCCGCACTTAATCAGTTGGCAATCAATGTCCGTAGGTATGGTATGTGCTTTGCACCTTCGAAGTGCAAAGTACTTCTACAAGACTGGCAGGATTCTAATCCTGTACTCACTCTGGATGGTGAGCAGATAGAGGTAGTCGAGAAGTTCGTGTATTTAGGTAGCTGCATGAGTGATGAGATCAATGCACGTATAGTGAAAGCCAGACCGGCTTATGCCAATCTGGGTCATCTTTGGCGCCTTCGTGATGTTGGTCTGGCTGTAAAAGGACGGATCTACAACGCGACGGTGAGAGCAGTTTTGCTCTATGCTTGTGAAACCTGGCCTCTCCGAGTTGAGGATGTTAGACGACTCTCTGTGTTTGATCATCGCTGTCTCCGAAGGATTGCTAACATCCAGTGGCAACACCATGTTAGTAATGCAGAGGTTCGGCATCGCGTGTTTGGGCACAGAGACGACAATGCAAATGGTGTCACCATCTTGAAACACCGAATCTGGTGGCTTGGACATGTTCTACGAATGTCGTCCCAGAGAATTCCTCGTCGTGCATTATTTGCCGACCCTGGGACTGGTTGGAAAGAGCGGAGAGGTGGTCAGTGTATGACATGGTGTCGTGGTATGAAAGCTGCAAAGGGCTGACTTCTGTTGGTCATTCACGACTCCCTGGCTGGGGTCCTAGAGATGGTGTAACACAGTGGCTAGAGACGTTATCAGATATGGTTCAGAATAGAAGCCAGTGGCGATCCTGCTGTAACCTTCTTTTACGTTCTTCATAAAAGGTGGCTGTATCCTCCTTAAACGTAAGATTTCTTCTGTGTACCTTTTCGTCTCCCTCATTATTGTTTTTTTTATAATCCCCTACGTTCCTTACTTTTTTTTCCCTTCTTAAATTCTCATTGTTTTGTGTGGCGCATATATATTTGGTGCCCCCCTGTACCAATATTTATGTGTTCAAATAAATAAATAAAAATAAATAACCACAGATGGATAGTTTGTCAACTAAATCTAATGTGATAATATACATATCTGCTTAATAATTACGTTTTCCTCTGAGCAAATGTTCACATTTAGCGAATAAACATTCAATCAGTATATTGATAGACATTAAATAACCGATCAAATCTAAAAAAATTTGATACTTGGTGAAAAAGAGTTCTATTTTAATCAATCGATAAAAACCCAGTAGTACAAGGTCTGTCAGACTGGAAAAAACACACAACACAGTCTTCAATGACAGAAACGTTTGCTTTGTCAAAAGACAATTTTGTGACAATGTTTGGCCTTGAAAGGAATACTGCTTAGTACTAAGAAATACTGAAAGCATATTCTGAACACGTTAAATAAAAGTCTGAAAATGCTTCATATCTATAGAAAATGCAAGACACCTTTGGTTTGAAAACAATGAGTGAAGTAATTTAGAATGTAAACTACTTTACTTGATTAAACAATTTTATTACTCCCAATACGCACTCTTGATGACATGGCTCAGAATCGATCACAATGGCATAGGTGTATACACTCTCTGTCTTCCTTTAAACTAAGAGATTAAAATCGCTTCATATCTTTCTCTCTAACAACTAATTCTTTCTTCCTGTACTATCTTCTTATACGCGATCGCTCTTCTATATGTTACCATCACTGAATTAACTACTTCTATGAATCCGGTGTTCATCTTGTTGTGCTAATGAGGTATGGCAACTTGGACGGATGCATATATGTGCCTGGTCCTACGTTGCAGCTGATTGACTGACTGAATATGCACTGATAAAGTCTAGACAACTATGCAAAAGCTTCTTTAAAATACATATTAAACGATATCAACTACGGAAAAAACGATGAGTCCAGATATCTGTCAAGTATGCAACAAATGACTAGTTACTTCCGTTAGAAAAATCGTGTCCAGTAGATACAGAAAGAATAAATCAATTATATTTAATAACTTTATTTTTCAATGATTTAGAACACAAAATTTCTTTTTTTGACAACAATGATCATACTGTTTCACAGGGAGAATAAGCGTTAAAAATGTAAAAACACAGATCTACAACTCTACTCAGCAGCTAAACCGATAACGCCACAAGCTAGACGGCCACCAGCATTACCAGTTACTTTACTGAGCTCATGACCACCACGGCCTAAATCATCTTCATTTTCATGAATCTACATTAAAGATACAAAATGCTTACATAAATACCAACGAATTATAAAAGAGATTTCATCTTATAGCATTCTATGGTATTGAAGTACTCAATAACATAGAAATGAACAAATAAGTTTAGTAATCACTCGAATTCGGCTTAGAGTAACAAGGGTTAGAAATATTACTAATTATCAATCTAAAATTTTGTAGATGGAGAACAGTTATGTTTAAAAATTAGACTACTTCAGCAGTGGATAAAATGAAACCATCGATAATATTCCTCATATTATAGTTGCAAATTCACTGACACGATAGCCTACAAAACGTTTTTCCTTGAGAAACCTAATGAGGTCATGGTCAATCAGTCAATAATAACGTAGAACTTCGTACGTATGTACATCAGTTCGAGTTGCCATACTACATTAGCACAGAAATGCAGTTGTAAATTCAAATCCCGTAGTGGTAGAGGTGGTAAGAGTATAAACAGTAATCGGAAAGATTAGGGTTTGAAGATGTTATTCAAGGAGTATAATCCAGTGAAATAAATTTGGAAAGGGGAAAAAATTGGCATGAAGAATTCAGAAGATTAGAAGCCGGGAGAACACAAAGAGTGGATGCACCTGCGCCATTGAGGTCATGGGTCAAGACATTATGATTTGAATAAGTTATGAATTTCAGAAAAGCGGAAATGTAAATTTAGATAAGTAATAAAAAACGAATAGAGTGAAACATTTCTTCACAATTAGTTTTCTACCATGGCTCTACACTAACATGAGCAGTGGTTTAATGGTTAAGATATTCTACTTTCGATCACTGCTATGTTTGAAGAGATTAAGAGTTCACCTAAATCTGCGAACAGAACGAGGACTCAAAGATACAATGATCAAATAAGCTCATTATTCCGATGCGTCCCAGTCCCGCTAACTAGAGAGGGAAGTCCAGGCTCAGAAGAGGGAAAATGGATTCCACAAGCAGTCAGAAGCACGAACAACAACAAACATAACTCAAGCGTATATATATAAAGCATAAAAATATCCTTGGGAAATGTTACAAAATAACATATAAAGAGAGACAACGGACCAACCACATTTAAGGTTCTCCCAAGTGGGAAATACGATATAAAGGTGAAAATGGATGCTTTTGATGTGAAAACAAGAAATTGAAATTTCCAAAATAAAATTACAAAAATGAGACATTTATCAAGTAAGTTTTGGGGATCTAGCATCCCCAACAACCAAAAAGTCCTGTGTTGAAACCCCGCCTCACTTGTACTTGGGCAACCGGGAGGTACCGTTAGCCCTCACAACTAGTGTGGTCCACACCCAATTACCTGGTGAATGAGTTTATTTATTCGAGTAGTAATATGTATAAACTTAACAATAATAATAAAACATACCAGTTAAGTGGTAGCATGTTACATTATTCTACTCATTATTTGGATGAATGAATGCAATTTTCATCGATAGATGATATGTACTGATACAATACGGTCAAGTGATAACCATTAATGAAATCAAATTATTGACACAAGCCTCCAAAGAACTAATAACAGAAGATATAACGGCTGCCAACCGGAATACATACAGACTCCAGTCAAATTTATATATAAATGAGTGTATATTGGTTGGTGGTTATTACGTTTGTGAAGGGTGAATAGAATTTTCATTTTCTGTTAGCCTTTGTAGTCGTCATGACATCGTAAAAACTTCGGTGTTTTTCTGTTCTAAGCAGCTGTTTATTGCGGTTATAAAAAGTAGAGACGGGGATAATTTGGAGCATGTCATTCTGAATCGAGGAGGTCAAGTCATCGATATCTCAATAAAAACAATTTGAAAGCACACAGCTGCCACTATTTGAGACGACATGCACCAAACTTTCTGTCACTAGTGAATGATTTTCCAAACAGAGCTGATACTGTTGATATCAGTAGTTGGTGTTATTTTTTATCCCAAAACTGGGATCACCTTCGACATTTGATGCAGCAGATATGAACTAAGGATAGGGAGTGAAGTAGTCGAAAACATCGACAACTTCATTTATCTTGGAAGTCTGATCATAATGTGTTGGTGTTTGACCAAATCTCTGCACGGATTCAAAAAGCTCGTTTGACTTTTATCAACTTACGTCACCTATAACGAAGGCGAGATATCCGTCTATCAATTAAGATGTGCAGCAGTTCGTTCTGTTTTACTTTACAGCTGCGGAACGTGGTCATTAGGAGTAGAAGACATTCGTAAGCTACTAGTATTTGATCACAGGTGTCTTATAAACATAGCTCGCATCCGCGGGGACCACCGGGTAAGTAATAGTGAGGTTAGACGCAGGATATTAGGGAATGATGGTAAATCAGTCAATGAGATTATAAATCTTGATCGACTAAGATGGTTGGACCACATGCTACGTATGCTTGAACACCGACTACCGAGACGCGCAATGCTGACTATTGATGGAGACGGCTGGAAGAAAGTTAGGGACGGCCAAACCAAAACGTGGCACCAGTCATTGGAGTCATTAACTTCTGGTTTGAGCCATGTTGTTAGATGCAAACTACTTGAATGGGGTCCGCGTGATTGTCGTAACCAATGGTTAAAGACTCAGGGTGACAAGGCTCAGAATCGGTCACAATAGCGTAGGTGTATAAACATTTTGTCTTCGCTTAAACCGTGAGGTTAGAATTACTTTATATTTTTCTTTCTATGAATTAATTCTTTCTTCCTGTACTATATCCATATACATAATCTTTCCTTAATATATTACTATCATTGAAGTGACTACTTCTATTAATTTGGTGTTCATTTTGTTGTGCTAATGACGTGTGGCAACTTGGACCGACGCATATATGTGCCTGGTCCTACGTTGTAGCTGACTGACTGCAGCAGATTTGAAGACTCGTTTACAATTGGATTAACTGGTCTAGATAGTCGTATAAGAGCGTTAGTTCATCATAAAAAGTTGAGGATAAGTAAACAAGCTACGCATACGAAGTTCATTTTGCTGAAAATGTCTAAATATCAACTTTTAGAAAGCGGTCGTCATTAGGCAGCAGTCAGCCAGTAACAAAGTGGAACTTCGTACGTACGTACATCAGTTCGAGTTGCCACACCACATTAGCACAGAGATTCAGTTATCGATTCAAATCCCGTTGTGGTTGAGGTAGTGAAATATTAAGTAGTGATAGGAAACATTAGGGTTTGATGATGTTATTTAAGGAGTATAATCCAGTGAAATAAATTTGAAAAGAAAATAAAGGACATGAAGAATTCAGAAGATTAGAAGCCGGGAGAACACAAAGAGTGGATGCACCTGCGCCATTACAAACGATATTGAGCCATGTCATTCAATGTCTCTAACCATCGGTTGCTATCATCTCGCGGTCCCCAACCAGTTAGTCTACACCTACCAACATGGCTCAGTCCACGTGTCAGTGACTTCATGGATTTGTGCCATGTTTTGGTCTGACCGCCCGTAGCTTTCTTCCAACCTACTCCTACACCGTTGAACACCGCACGTCGGGGCAGTCGGTGGTTGGGCATACGTAACACATGTCCCAGCCAGCTCAACAGACGAAGTTTCATTACTTCATCAGTTGATTTGCCATCCTTACCTAGTACCCGTTTCCTAACAACTGCATTACTTACTCGGTGGTCCGAGGATATACGAGCAATGTTTCGAAGACATCTATGATCAAATACTAGTAGCCTACGAATATCCTCTACTCTTACTGGCCATGTTTCACTGCCATAAAGTAGGACGGAACGAACTGCTGCGCAGTAAACACGTCCTTTGGTTGATAGACGGATATCTCGCCTACGCCACAAATGACGCAAGTTGGCAAAAGCTAGTCGAGCCTTTTGCATCCGTGCTGAGATTTCGTCACACACCAAACCACAAGGGCTGATGAGACTTCCGAGATAAGTGAAGCTGTCGACACGCTCAACTACTTCACTCCCTATCACTAGTTCGGGTGTCGACGCAACCCAATCCTGAAGCAACATTTTGCATTTCGAGGGAGAAAATCGCATGCCGAACATGCTTGCATTGTTGCTTAGAGTGGTCAGCAGACTCTGCATTCTGTCAGCATCTTCACTAAATAGAACTATGTCATCGGCATACTCTAAGTCAACAAGTGAATTTCCCGGTAGAAGTTGAACCCCTGGGAAGTCAGATGTGGAAAGAGTTATCTCTAAAAGCACGTCAATGACAAAGTTAAACAAGAATGGAGAGAGCGGACAGCTCTGACGAACACCACTTGAGGTAATCAGTTCTGATGACAGTTCGTCATAAGCTCTCACTCGACCAGTTGTGTTCGAGTAGAGAGCTTTTATAAGGTTAATGTACTTCTCTGGTACTCCTTTCAGAGACAAGCACTGCCATAGAACCTTACGATCAACAGAGTCAAATGCCGCCTTAAGGTCGAGAAATACTACCATTGTGGGGCGTCTGAATGTGTGTCTATGTTCTAGGACCTGACGTAATGTGAATATTTGATCAATGCAACCACGTCCTGGTCGAAAACCAGCCTGGTTTTCTCTAGTCTGCTCTTCACGAGCTTTGGTTAGACGTCGAAGTATTATTGAAGCTAATATTTTAGACACTATATTAGTCAAACTAATTCCTCTGTGATTGTCACAGGAGGACTTTTGTCCTTTCTTATAGACTGGTACAATCAGTGATTGAGACCAGTCAGATGGGATTACGTCCAGTTCCCAGATTCTACCTAAGACCTCAGTCAATCTCGCTGCTAATACTGGACCACCATCCTTAAAAATCTCAGGATTAAACCTGTCAGTGCCTGCTTCTGTTCCACGCTTCAGATTTCCTATAGCTTTTTCAACTTCGTAGAGTCGGAGGACTTACATTAACTTGCCATTCAGGTAGACTGGAGATCGTGGGAAACCGAAGTGTGGCTGAAGGCCAGTTGAACTGATCCCTAAAGTGTTCTGCCCGTCGATCCAATCTCCTGGATTGAGAATGAATAATATGTCCATCTTTTTCGGAGATAGTTTCGCTAACAGTTGGGTTCCTAATACCGGTTTCCTTAACAAGTCTGAATAGTTGCCTGCTGTTACCTATTGCTGCTGTCTTTTCCATCTCTCTTGCTTTCGCTACCCACCACTGTTCACGATCATTGCGTAGGCTTCTAGTCAGCTTACGCTTAAGCTGACTCCGCTCTTCGTTATGTTCAGAGCCAGATGGAATGAGTTTTCCAGCATCTATCAGTGTGGTAGACGCTGCTGAGATCCAGTGTTTCTCCCTAACCTTATGGTTTACCGTACTTGCAGACATCACTGCTGTTTCTACAGCTTTTCGGATGTCATTCCACGCTGCCTCGGGATGGGTATCACTTACATGGCTGCCTAACTGTTTTTCTAGTTGCTCCTGAAATATACTCTTAGTTTGACTATCATTAAGTAGTACCCTAAGGGGTTTCCTTGTACCATCTTTCCCACGTCCAGTAAGACGCAAATCGGAATTTTCTGACCAACCTTACTAGCTGTTCAATATTGACGAATTCAAACCAATAGTATACAATAACTACGATAGTGAATATCAATACTTACAACCATAGTTCGACCAATGATTGAATGAGAGCCGTTCAAAGATATTAATTTGTCAGTCGCGTTATAAACTGCGTTTCCATCAACACCCGCCACAACATTTCCCAAGTCACCAACATGACGAATGCTATCTTCTGGTGCTCCATGCTCTTGTTTAGTTGGATTGAAATGAGCTCCAGCTGAAATACATCCATTTGTTGTATCACCAAATTCATGAACATGAAAGCCATGTTTACCAGCCTTGAGTCCACTAAATTCGGCGTGCACATTAACAGGTCCATTATCAGTCTAAGAGTGTAAAAGAAATGTTTGGCGGTAAACCTTTCAAAAATGTAAGACGATACAATAAACTTCAAGCACGGACAAAACATTTTCCATAAGTTATTATGCAAAGTCAATTTTACTATTCTTTTATTTTAAAACAAATAGTGGAAAAAAATTTAAATGGTGTATGACGACTACCAAACTTTAAATGTAAGCCCCATAAAAGTTTGGTTTATCGAAAAATCACAGTACAATAACCGTTTAATCAACAAGATTACATCAAAAACTTATCTTTGTATCTTTAAATCAGTACTAACATCAGTAAATAAGTCATAATAATCTTGAACATCAAGATCAGTTTTGTAAAGAAAAACCCAATGAACTAAAACTGATTAGGCTTATACAGTGGAAAACCTTGGTATTAGTAAAAAATGGAAGTTATGTGAAGAAAATGGCTGAATATCCTCTGGCTGAACACTCCAAGGCTGATAAAAGCAAAGTAGGTTAGTATATATTTTAATGAACAGGAAGGTTTCGTACATCACAACCTTAATGACTTAGATATACAAGCTATGAGTGTTAAAGAACTTGAAATAGATGCAACGACCGTGAATATCAACTCCGAAAGCCCTTCTTAACTCATATGATCAGAATTATACTTTCACTTCTTTATAATAATTTTGACGTATCCTTATTACGTCATAGATTTGCCAAATCGGTGAGCGGAAATAACTAGATACCATATTACTCCCGGAACAAAATCTAAATTATTTCTATTACTATTTACTTACGATTCACCTAAATAGCACTCAAAAGTTTGAGCAACTTTTAAATGACCCAGAGAAATGAAGACTGATTCTTGGTTAACTATAATACAGGTTGTGTAAGAATGGTTAAGTAAAAATAAATTAACAAGTATATGCAATTTATAAATCACTAATGAACTCCATATTCACAAGTCAATCTCTTTTGAAATCACGGGATTTTGATAGAAAAATTTACCAATATAATATAAAATAATTCTATCTATGGAATCTTAGTGCAGTAGTTTTTTAAACACCTCCAAGCTTTCTTTATGTTGCTAATGTGAACTTTATTCAGGTTTGCGAGATGTGGTGGACAGACAACTGAATGCTGGTATCCCTATATCCCAAGGCATCTGTAGGCTTACCAGAGCTTAATATACATGGTAGTTCCTGAATGAACCTATTCTTTAACTGTAGAAATAAGTCTTCTACTGTTGGAGTCCCGATATTAAACCCCATGAACTTACTACAGTTTAAATTACTTTCCAGCTCATTTCTAATATTTTTTTCATACTTCATATTCGTCATACCACTGTACTGCCGTAACATAAGTGGCACTTACCGGCGCAGCAATACTAAATACAGAACTGGTAACTATCCAGTGCCTTAGTAGGCGAGATATCCGTCTATCAACCAAAGGACGGGTTTACTAAGCAGCAGTTCGTTCCGTCCTACTTTATGGCAGTGAAACATGGCCAGTAAGAGTAGAGGATATTCGTAGGCTACTAGTATTTGATCATAGATGTCTTCGAAACATTGCTCGTATATCCTCGGACCACCGAGTAAGTAACTCAGTTGTTAGAAAACGGGTACTAGGTAAGGATGGCAAATCAACTGATGAAGTAATGAAACTTCGTCTGTTGAGCTGGCTGGGACATGTGTTACGTATGCCCAACCACCGACTGCCCCAACGTGCGGTGTTCAACGGTGTAGGAGTAGGTTGAAAGAAAGCTACGGGCGGTCAGACCAAAACATGGCACAAATCCATGAAGTCACTGACACGTGAACTAAGCCATGTTGGTAGGTGTAGACTAACTGGTTGGGGACCGCGAGATGATAGCAAACAATGTTTAGAGATATTGAATGACATGGCTCAAAATCGTATGCAATGGAGCAGGTTCATTTACTTTTTGTGTTCTCCCGGCTTCTAATCTTCTGAATTCTTCATGCCAATTTTTCCCCTTTCCAAATTTATTTCACTGGATTATACTCCTTGAATAACATCTTCAAACCCTAATCTTTCCGATTACTGTTTATACTCTTACCACCTCTACCACTACGGGATTTGAATTGACAACTGCATTTCTGTGCTAATGTAGTATGGCAACTCGAACTGATGTACATACGTACGAAGTTCTACGTTATTATTGACTGTTTTAGTAACAAGATTAAGTGCTTAAAAGTTGGGTTGCAAATAAAAATAAGGAATCCTTTCAAATTGATATCTGTTAGTAAGATAAGTGACAATAGAATACTATCCCGTCACGTATTCTCTGCAGTTACAACACATGGTTTTTTAACGACTTTCAATGATTCAGAAGTATTCAATAATCGTATCCGCATGAAAATGGCTCACCAAATGATCTACAGCAAGGATTCTGTCAGTAATGAGCCGGTCGGGTTGGTTTGAATATAACCCTGAAACAAGAACCCCTATGCTTACAGGTCCTCTGAATTAGACAGAAACGAAAACGCAATTGCTATTCAACCAAACATTCATCACTTTTACATGTTTCTTTACAAGTATTGAAAAACCACCCACTGGATAATACTATTTAGTATTTAGGAAATGGGAAAATAGAAGTAAAGTTGAGGTAAATGTAACACTTCAAAAAAAATTCAGTGTGAATTTGTGTGGGATGGCATCTGGATGTTGACATATTTGCTTTTCACGGCACAATAGTGACATGTTTTCTTTTATGAGGACTGTCTTGAAGTTCACAATCCAGAAGTTCTATGCACTATTACCCTTATCCGCCTCACAATAATCACTTATTTCAGTACTGAGAACACAGAGACTGACGTACATACAACAATTTCTCATTAAAAAGTGGTCATTCCTGAAATGACCAGTAGTAAAATAAACATTTCAGCTTGCAACTAACTTACTTCCTGAGTAAATTTGACAACGCCTTTCACGCCAGCTGTACCAGTCATAACACAAACAGCTTTCATCCTCGTGTGGCTTTGCAAAAAATGGGTTGACACCACACCACTTCCAAAGACAACCGCGTTTTTTCCACGACCTTGAACGGCCTAATTAATAGTTTCACACTGCTAAGGACAGGAGATTGGGTGACCTGTGTCAGCCTTGGGCACTGATGGTCTCTCAACTAACCCAACATCTTTTTGAAAGCGTCCACTGGTGGAGCTTTAACCAAATGAGTTCTATTCGTAAACGAGTCGATAGTCAAATGACAAGTAATGCGTTCCGGGCTTGTGAACATTTTTAAAGTGTCCTCGTGAATTCCCTGTTTTGGAAAATAAGAAAACTGAGGGCATATTCGATGCAGACTTATTGTTAAGTAATTTATAACTTTTGTATGACTAGTGAAATGTCAATGGGCTCTAGTCAAATCACTCGACAATTGGGTTACTGAATAGTTTAGTTTCAGTTTCAGTTTGGAAAGGACAGGAGGCTTGATGGCCTGTGTTAGTCCTGGCAATTGTGCTCTCAGTTGATCCAACTTTCTTTTGAAAGAATCTACGGATGGAGCTTCAACCACGTGTTGAGTTAATGAATTCCACTCGTTGATGATTCGGTGGGAAAGTCGATAATCAGCTGACAAGTGATTTGTTCTGGGCTTGTGAACTTTTTTGGAGTGTCCTCGTAAATTCTCTGTTTTGGAAGACAGGAAAAATGAGGGCATATCAGGTGCAAATTTATCACTAAGCAATTTGAAAACTGTAATCAAGTCGCCTCTAGTTCTACGATATGACAAAGGGAATAGGTTTAGCTTGGCCAGTCGAGCATCATACGGAAGCTTCGCTATTACGGGAATCAGCTTAGTTGCTGTTCTCTGGACCTTTTCCAAAAGCTCACTGTCTTTTTTTAAACAGGGGCTAGCCGCTCGTATGCAGTACTCAAGCTTAGGACGTACGAACACTGTATACAAAGTCAAAAACGTTTGAGCGTCGACATGAGTAAAAGCCGAACGTATTGACCATAAAGTTCTAAAAGCTTTGGCGGCTATTGCACGGCAATATGCAGTAGTCTTCAGATCTTGGCTAACGATGACTCCTAAGTCATTATGTGTTTGGACAACAGGTAGCTCAGTGTTATTCATCGTGTATGTATCTGAACCTTGATGACCGATATGCATCACAACACACTTGGAAATATTTATTGGCAGCTGCCAGGTATGAGACCATTCGAATAATTTCTTCAGGTCATTTTGGAGTTCTAAGCTATCACCCTTACATCGTATCGTTCTCCATATCTTGACATCGTCAGCATATAGCAAGACCGATGATGATAGTAAGCGAGGAAGGTCATTTACATACAAGAGGAATAGCACTGGCCCCAAAACTGTATCCTGGGGCACTCCACTAAGCACAGTTTCCCAGCTAGATAATTTTGAGTTTACTCGTACTCTTTGTTGGCGCCCAACAAGGAAGTCTTCTATCCACGTCAATAGATTGCCTCCAATTCCGATATTTTTTAGCTTATATAACAGCCGGTTGTGCGGAACCTTGTCAAAAGCTTTGCTGAAATCAATGTAAGCTACGTCTACAGGTAACCTTTGGTCCTTAAAAGCGCACCAGCTTTCTCGAGTGACTAATAAGTTAGTGAGACAAGAATAACCTATTCTGAAACTGTGCTGTTTCTCCGAGAGGATTCGGTTTACATCGATGTATTTAAACAGCTCTTTCCGAATAATCTTTTCCAAGATCTTAACAACCACACTTGTTAGGCTAACGGGTCGGTAATTCTCAAGTTTATGTTTCGTACCTGTTTTGAAGACAGGACTTACTATGGCGTTCTTCCAGTCTTTTGGTAAACGACCCTGCGTAACTGATAGCTTAAAGCATATACTTAAAGGGTTCGCAACTTACTTACTTACGCCTGTTACTCCTCGTGAAGGAGCATAGGCCGCTCACCAGCATTCTCCATCCAACCCTGTCCTGGGCAATCATTTCAAGCTCTTTCCAGTTCTTATTCATCTTTTTCATATCTGCTTCTATTTCCCGACGTAATGTGTTCTTTGGCCTTCCTCTTTTCCTCTTCCCTTCAGGATTCCAAGTTAGCGCTTGTCTCGTAATGCAGTTTGATGCTTTCCTCAATGTATGTCCTATCCATTTCCATCATCTTTTCCTAATTTCCTCTTCAGCTGGAAGCTGGTTGGTTCTCTCCCACAAAAGGCTGTTGCTGATGGTATCCGGCCAATGGATGTTGAGTATCATGCGTAGACAGCTATTAATAAATACCTGTACCTTCTTGATGGTGGTTGTTGTAGTTCTCCAAGTTTCAGCTCCGTACAGTAGAACTGCCTTGACGTTCGTATTGAAGATTCTGACTTTGATGTTGGTTGAAAGTTGTTTTGAGTTCCATATCTTCTTCAGTTGAAGGAATGCCGCTCTAGCTTTGCCAATCCTCGCCTTTACGTCTGCATGTGAAGCTGCTTGTTTATCGACGATGCTTCCCAGGTATGTGAAGGATTCCACGTCTTCCAGAGTTTCGCCATCAAGAGTGATTGGATTGCTGTTCTCCGTGTTGTGTTTGAGGACTTTGGTTTTCCCTTTGTGTATGTTGAGGCCTACTGATGCAGAGACTGCTGCTACTCTGGCTGTCTTTATCTGCATTTGTTCGTGTGTATGTGATAGGAGGGCTAGGTCATCTGCGAAGTCCAAGTCGTCTAATTGGTTCTGAGCTGTCCATCGTATGCCGTAGTTTCTCTCAGATGTCGAGGTCTTCATAATCCAGTCGACCACCAGGAGAAACAGGAAGGGAGAGAGTAGACAGCCTTGTCTTACTCCGGGAAGGGTTCGCAACGAAGTTAGATAATTCCTTTAGTAGCCTAGGATGCAATTCATCGGGCCCCATGGATTTACCTATGTCAAGCTTATTTAGCAGATCAAAGACATCGAGTTCATTTATGGTCACGCTATCCAGTGTATGTGTGGGGGGGTTGTATGCGCTGACGGGAAGGGTGCTTCTATGGTATATACATTGCTAAAGTAGTTTGAGAACACTTCAGCCTTACCAAAGTCATCTTCCACTAATGAATGTCGAACAGTTCGCCAATCTTCGTCAAGTTCAAAGACAACTAATGCGCATCAATCGATCGGAAGCCATGGACTGTCCCATGTTTTGATTGTCGTACCCTCTCTCTTGTACCTACTTTTACTAACATATTTCTGTGATAGTACCTTGATACGACGAAAGGGTAATCCACATTAGGTGCTGACCGCGAGGTGTTACTTCGAAGTCAGCTGTTGGTTACACCACTCTCGTCTAACTCAAGTGGGCCTCCAATCAATAAGTGCTCACAAACGTCTTTCTTCTTCTTACTTGCGAAGGGTTGGAGGTTATAACGTTCGAGTGTCATCCGTTTTATAGAGTGTTCGTGCGTATTCAAGCAGAGAACTTAACAGTGGCGACGGATTTTACAACCAACAATGCCAATTACCTTTAAAAACAAATAGAATCTTTGCTGGAAAGTCAAGGAAAACGATACGAACAGTTCCAGGAGCGTATGCTGGAGATGTTAGCTAAACAAATGAATCTGAATAACAGAGGTCTTACTGATGATTCATGTAGTACACATACAGACTCGATAATTAATTCCATTCAGGAATTTCATTTTGATGGCCTAGGTGGTTTGACTTTCGAGTCTTGGTTCAAGAAGTATGAAGATTTGTTCAAGGTCGACTGGATGACGCTGCCAAGGTCAGAATACTCTTGAGAAAGCTTGGCACGATTGAACATGAACGTTATAGTAATTTCATCCTCCCAAAGAATCCAAGAGATTTCTCTTTTGATGCAACAATCGAAACTCCGACGCAAATCTTCGCTGAACAATCATCTCTCTTTGATATTCGTTATCCATGCCTCAAAATAACGAAGTCAAATGAGGATGATTGGGTAAAACATGCCGGCCTAATAAACCGTGAATGTGAACGATTCAAACTATCATCAATGACGGAAGACCAGTTTAAGTGCCTCGTGTTTGTGTGTAGCCTACAATCTCCCGAAGATGCTGATATAAGAACCACAATCTTAAGCAAAATTGATCAGTGCCCAAACATCTCACTACAAGAAATAACTGCAGAGTGTCAGAGATTAGTAAATTTGAAACATGATACCTCCATGGTCGAGAACAATAGCCGGCCGTCATACGTGCATGCTGTTAGTGAAAAGAAAGACTCCGGCTCACAAAAACCATACAGCACAGACAACCAGCCCTCATCTCCTTGCTGGTCACGTGGAGGTTGGCATTACAAGAAGTTTTGTCCATACAAAGAATATTTCTGCACTAAATGTCACAAAAAGGGGCACAAAAAACCAGATGTAGAAATAAAACTCGCAGACGTTACTCTTCAAAAGTCTATTCCAAGAAATACAGATCTGGTAAGAAAACAAACAAAATATTAGTATCTTATAACCAGACAAGAATTCACCGCCGAAGAAAGTATGTGACCGTAGACATGAATGCACACCGTGTCCGTCTTCAACTTGACACAGCATCTGATATCACCCTAATCAGTCCAAAAACTTGGAAGATGATTGGGAGACCGACAGTTCATCGAAGGAAGCAACTAGCGCACAGCGCATCTGGAGGTAAGCTTAATATTGTTGTGGAAATAACGTGCAATGTTTCGAAAAATGAGGCAACAACGAGTGCAACTGCTTACTTAACCAAGAACCCGGAACTCGATTTATTGGGATTGGATCTAATAGATGCATTAAAATTAGCAGATCATCCTCTCAACAATATCTGCAGCCAAGTCAGAATCAATAACCCTTTAGAGTCAAGACAGAGAAATGCCATTATAAAAAGGCATCATCACGTGTTTTCAGAAGGGTTGGGCGAATGCAAGAAAGCCAAAGCACTACTGACTCTCAGGTCAACATCTATTCCTGTTTTTCAACCAAAAAGACCTGTACCTTATGCTTCTCTCCCAGTAGTTGAACAAGAACTAGAACGGCTTCAAAAAATGGGTGTCATTGAACC